ATAACAACAGACTTAGGTTGTTTTAGTATATAAATAATGTAGGAATGACTTGTTGAATGCTGTTTTTTTGTGCGGGGGGGGAGTGGAGAGTGCTGGGGAGTGCATATTAAGGCCCTTGTGGAGAGGGAGGACTGGGGCTGGGGCTGCAGCTCATCTGGGGGGTGTGGGAAGGGGTCAGTTCCCACAGCCACGTGCCGCTCGGCTGGGAGCTGCTGGTCCAGCGGCTTGTTCGGTACTTGCTTTCTTGTCCCACAGCTCCTGCTGCTGCTCCCACTACTCATCTGGGAGGGCAGGGGGGTTGGTGGGCATGTGCCCCTGAATCTTCGTGGGATGGGCTGGGGCCAGGGTTATGCCAAGCTCTTCTTGACAGGGCTGCGCTGGGAGGGAGCTACAGGGAGGGGTGGGGAGAGGGAGCTGCAGCCATGAATTTGCTGAAGCCCCTTCTCAGCACCACAGCTGCCTGGCCTAGCGCAGCCCTGTCCCGTTGGGAAGAGCTTGGCGTAGCTCTGGCTCCAGCCTGTCCCACGCAGATCCAGGGGCATACACCCCTGCCCGTGCCCTCCTGGATGAACAGTGAGAGCAGTGGCAGGAGCCGTGGGACGATCAGGTGAGCACCAGACAAGCTGCTGGACCAGCAGCTTCCAGCCAAGCGGCGCACGGCGAACAGAGATTTCCCCCACCCCCTGGACAAGCTGCAGCTCCATGCTGTGCCTGTCCCACCCTGGCTGGGCAGCGCTTGCCCCTGCCCCAGCCCCAGCCCCGCTTCTTCCTCCCTATGGGGGCCTTGATCTGCCCCCCACGCCCCTTCACTTCTCCTTCCTGCCACACCAGTCTCACCAGCTGGAGGCAGCTCTCTATGCTGCCAGGCTGTGCTCCTCGGTGCCTGTGCTGTGTTGTGGCTGCACGCATGCACGGGCTTTTTATTGGCCTGATATGGCTGATTTCCCATATTAAATTTTCTCTATATCAGTGTCGATCAGATATTGGACCGATGTATCCGTGCACCTCTACTCAGAACAGTGGTTCCCAACGTTCTTAAACTTGAGGCACCCTTTGGAAAATTCTGGCTCTTAGTTTTCACTCTCTTTTTGACTACAGGAAAACAATAAAGCAATTCTTCTCATGCAGAGAACTCAAAAAGCCCACAACAGGTTAGAATGCTTTTATCACTCGATTCCTGTATGAAAACTCAGGTGTGCAAACATGATTCACAGGATAAACCCAAACAGTACTAACATTGTGCAGCACCCTGGAAAGCATCTCAAGACACCCCAGTGCACCATGGCTCCCTGGTTGAGAATCACTATCCTAAAACCTATAGGTGGTCTCTTCCACCTCGGGAAAAACAAACAGACAAACAACAACAAAAAATCCTGTACACTTATAGCTACAAAATCTGAGACTGCAGAGCCCTGAAGTTTGAGAGTTTGAATGTTATGACTTAATTCATTAAGTTATCGTTTGCAATAATGTGCGTGTCTCAGTATGCTTTCTTAATTTTGTGGTGCTTGTTGGCAAGCTAACCTGCATTAATTACTTTTTCTGTTTATCATATTAGGATGAACTGATGGCAGAATTAGAGGAACTAGAACAGGAAGAATTAGATAAAAATCTGCTGGAGATCAGTGGTCCTGAGACAGTACCACTACCAAATGTGCCCTCAATATCACTACCATCAAAGCCAGGTAAGTGTCTGCTTTTGTAGTCAGTTGGTTCTCTAATCGGTGCATCCATTAGCTTGATTGCTTTTAATGCAAACTTGTCATTTGAGATTCTTGGTTGCACGCAGCACACACAGGTCATATAGACTTACTTCCTGAATTGGAAGCTACTTCTAGAGGTGTTTATTGACTGGGCATACCCTCTCTCTCATTAAATGTATGAAAAGTTAACAGTTGTAACAGTGCACTCTTAGTATAGCTATAGCATAAGTAAGGTTCATTATAGAGATGTGTAAGGAGGAAATGATGGACTGGGGATCTTGTACCACTGTAACGGACTCACAAGGAAGTCACTTGCAAGGAATTTTGACAAAGTAAAGCATAGGTAAAAGTGGTGAGAGACTTGAGTGTAAAGCAGCCCTTAGAATTTTGTCTCTCAGGCTGCTTTGAGTACTTCAGCTGAATCAGACTTCCATGACACCAGATGCTTAAATCTGTGCCTTGTCCTTGTGTAAGACTGCTTTGGTCTTCTAGATAGATGACCTATCTGTTCTCATTTCTTATGGGGGAGAGGGAGGAGAACTTTTGACTCTCTTGACAGCACAGGGGGTTGTGCCTTGAGTCTAGTACTCAAATGAGACGAGATCAGACAGGGTGCAGTTGTGTGGGAGCACTGTCAGATTGATTGGGAAACAAGGGTTATCTGGGCAACCAGCGAGGAAACTCCCTCAGCAATTAGTAGGGATTTTAAAATAAGCAGAAATGTTTGCTTGAGATATTTTAATACATCCACTCATCTTAGACAGAGATGAGAAGTCTTACCCCATAAAATCCATGCACCAAAGGGAATCTTTGAGAGCCAGAGTTAGGACTACAAAATTTCTGATTCCCAGCTTGGTTTGTCCTTCCTATCTATGCTGTATCCTGAAAGGTGTGCTCAAATCTGGTTATGCCCTATAGCTTCAACTTCTTAAATGTAAATAGGTGCTATAGTGGTTTATTAAAATATACCAGACAATCAAAATGAAAAGGTATTGGCACACACCAGTATGTTTACTACTTAGTTAAACACCTAAAGTTGTGCCCTCTTGAGTTTGTGCCCGCAAAGTACATGCTCCATGGAGCTTTTTAAGTAAGTGTATCTCAGTTTTACCATGCTCCTAGGTTTAGTTATGAGAAATATGTACTATACTAGTAAACACATCTGATTAGCATGTGCATTTGCATTCTTTTCATCTGAGTGCCCCCTTCTCTCATTTAGGATGATGGTTTCAGGAAGTTTAACCCAACTGGCTTTTAAAAAAAGTTAATGAGATCTGACGGGAACAACATACATTGTGTGTGGGTTTTTTTCTCTGAGACCCATGCTTTGGGCATGTATGTAGAGTAACAGTCTAGAAGTACCTGTCCTAGAGTATCCATTCCTAACTTCATTTTCTTCTTACTTAGCAGCCAAGAAGAAAGAAGAGGAAGAGGAAAATGATATGAAAGAGCTAGAAGCTTGGGCTGGAAACATATAGTTATAGCAGCAGCTGGCTGGGAAAAAAAAGACTTTGGCCACCTGTCATAGTTGCACATGTGTTGGGAGAAAGCGTTAAGTGAAGTGTCTTTATCTCTTTCATTTTAACCCAAAGCAGTGGGGGCTGCATTGCTGTATTCTGCAAAGCATGGTCTGCACATAGGAAAAAAGGGGCATGAGTGAAGCTGCCTGCAGTTTATAATGTTGAATATCTGTAAAATAAAATGTATTTGCAAAATCCAACATTCAGCTTTCAGGCTATGCTAATGCCACTGCTAAATTTTCATCCTCTTGAGTTTTGGCCACATTTAATCTCAAGATCTGAACTGCAATCTGTCATTTTAAATTGGTTAAAAATGTGTCTAGAAGTCTTGTAAGACATTAAAAAAAGGAAAAGTCATAAGCCACTGTTGGCTTCTCATTATGTTTAGGTGTAAGAATGCATTAGATTTTTAGTTCTTTGCGAATTATATTTATATTAATTGACTCTTGTGTGTTTACTTTCTATTTATCATTACAGTGATCTGTCACTTCCCATTTTAATTAGTGAAACTGATCTGAAATTGACAAATAGTATCTTGGAAGTAGGTGGGATTTGCACTTAAATTTCAGTTGTACATTTTTTTCTACATAGCACTATAGTGTTTATTGCTCTTCGTGATAATTGATAACCCATTCAGATACATGCACACACTTACTTTAATTATTAGATACAACTATGGTTTACACTGCATTAAATATCTTAATTTTCATACTGGGCTAATGTCTTCAATTAACTAATTTTATTAGATATACTGTAAATTGTATTTTGCTTATTCTCAGTTTCTGCCCTTTTTTGGTGTCAAGTGATCTTTGAGTATGCAATCATAGCTTTGCTAGGCTTTGCCACAGGTGTAGAATCAAGTAATGCAAGTAAACTCCAATCTCAGGTAAGCAATATTCTTGGACAGTTCCTATAACTCAGTGTTTCTTGGATGTCTTAATATGTTGCTGTGATGAAACATCAGTTTAAGACCTAAATCCAAAGTGTGTTAGAACTGCTGTTAAGTATAAAGCAACTTGGTTAAGGACATAGCTGATAGTGTTGGCTTTCTATTTTTCTTTCTCCTTTTATGTAAGTTATTATAGGAAGAGTCTCTAATTCCTCACAGTCCTTCATAGCGCTGATTTTATTTAACCTTTATTCTTGGACTGCTAAATGCAGTGAAACTTACCAGTAGACAAGTCAGTCTAGAGGAAGGGAACAGACCCCTTGACATCAGCATTGTTACTTCAGTTACTGACATGGAAACCGTAAGTGGCAAAGAGGCACAAATGGTTGTGCCACCAGCTTGAAACAAAGCTGTTCCCAAAGGAGTGGCAGTGGGACTGAATCAGTGTTGTTTTGCCCATTTTAAACAAGAAAGAACACAGCTCCCACATAAGGAATGGATATAAGATGGGACTGAATAGTGTACCTCTTTTCCTATTTGTTGTTGGCCAGAGCTAGAACACTTGAGTATCTTTTCCAAACTGCTTTTCTCTTCACCCTGAGAAATTTTGTCCAAAGAATCACAGGTTATTTCTATTTTTAAACCTTATTTATTTTAATGCTGCATAACATTTGTTTAACACACGAAGTATAATCATTGGTTAAGAGTCTTGCTTCTAGATTGGACCACTGACTCCCTCTCCCCATGACATCAGTGAACAACTAGAATTTAACAAAGATAATAAAACAAGCAATGAATGAACATTACTCAGCCTTGATTTTTCTAGTTTAGGCTCTTAGCTTGTGGGCAAGTCTTATTCTTTAAAATACTGGAGCACAATGTTAAACAGAATTCATATTTCTCTAGGTATAAACAGAATGTCTAGGTTTCACCAGGAGAAATTGTTGCAGAATTCTCATTAAGCTTCAGGCTATTTTATAATTGGAAATGAGTATCACAGTATCTAAAAATAGACAATGATGATTTTGCTTTACATATCTGCTGCTCTATTGAAGTAGGCAAATTGGAAAATGGAATCCAAATCTCTTGATTCACCTTCTTATTTTCCAGCAAGAAAAACACTTTCGTTTAGCAAGAATTTAGTTGGTCTCCATATGTAGATATTATGCCAGCGAAGAACCCACCAACTGTTAGAGTAAGGCAAAAATACAGTCCAGCCTGTTTACAATGATTTATCCCACTGTTTTTTATCAGAAGATGCTTCAGACCTTTACATCATCCCTATAGAGGGAGAAGTCAGGGCATAGCTGTTGTGAGGTGACCCTAAAGGCACTGAACAGATTTGAATTAAGAGTTAGGATAACTGAGATTGATAAGTTTGGGTTTTTTTGTTTGTTTGTTTTTTGTCCTAAGTGCTATATGGTATCCAGGAGATCAGGTCATCCTATGAGGACTGCTGTAGGAGATTCAGGCTATAAGCAGATGTCACATTTATCCCAGAACAAAGTGTGATCGTTCAGATGTCCATGTCTTTTGTTCTGGGGCAAATCCTAGAAAAGTTCAGGGAATAAGAAGTGTTCATGGTTTGTCCCAGGACATTGTCAAGTTCATCTGAATGGTTGTTCTTAGAGGTGCACTGATGCATCTGTCTGATATCAGATTGATACCAATATAAAAAAAATGACTATATTGGTAATCTGTTTGTTTTGCCTCATGCGGCTGATAATGTGGCTGATAAATGCCCCATGTATGTGCACAGCCGCAGCATGCACAGGGCTAGGAGTGCAGTCTGATAGTGTGAAGAGCTGTGTCCAGCTGATAATTCTGTTGTGGTGGAAGGGGGGAGGGAAGGGAAGGGAAGGGTGGGGCAAATTGAGGCCCCTGCGGTGAGGGAGAAAGTGGGGCTGGGGCAAGC